ACACCCCCACGCACGCATGCATGCATGTATGTATATGTACGCACTGGCACACAGTGCCATCGCATGGATCATCCTTGGAAATCATAACACCCCCACGCACGCATGCATGCATGTATGTATATGTACGCACTGGCACACAGTGCCATCGCATGGATCATCCTTGGAAATCATAACACCCCCACGCACGCATGCATGCATGTATGTATATGTACGCACTGGCACACAGTGCCATCGCATGGATCATCCTTGGAAATCATAGATGGCCGGCGTATGGAAGTCATAGATACGGGTGCATCTTGCTTAGCGAGCGCAGACGTGCGTGGGGCCCACCTAGACCCTTCAGTCTTTTTTGCATTCAAATCTTTACCCGTACTTCTTCATCCTCTTCTCTCCTCACGTATATACGTTGCCACCCACTTTTCCGACTGTCTACGGTAAAGTCTTGTTGACTCACGCTTTCTAGTGTTCTGGTTTGTTAGTCAATTCATGACTTTACCAATTTGTACCGATTTTTACCTGTTAAGTTATCAGATTCTATTAAAGAAATGTTAGGAGTTTTTATGATTTATGACCCCCACATTGTCTATATTGTATGTTAGACCCCAAATTTTTGGTACTTCTAAATAAGACTCTCAATTTCTTAAGTTGCTTCGAAAAGGAACTCTGGTGGATTCCCATCCGAATTCTTTGACTAAGCACAGTTACTTCTTTACCTTATAGAGTAAATTACAATAATAACCTTTAGGAACCCAACCTAGCTAATTCTACGGCTATCTTTATATTACAAATCTTGTGCCACTATTTTCTATTTTTCCCAGTCTCTTTCTACTTTCTTCTCAAAATCTCAAGCTCTATTAGGCTTTATGGAAACAAGAAATAGATTTCACAAATTAAGGTCAAATATAATTAAGAGATTGTTTTGACACTCCTAAAAGATATTTAGAGGTCTAATTTGCTAATACAAAGAGTTGGCGGTTTAATATAGAAATATAGAAGATATTTGGTACTATGTCATAAAAGGCCTAAATGTTTTTGCAGGCATAGGCACGAATTATATGAAGTTTATTCTTAGAAAGACAATACATACATGATCCATTGATACGGGTCTATCTTCTCCTTCTCTGCTTCAGGAACTTAGCAATCCTCATGGAAGATTGAGGATAGATGATTCTCATGGTAGCTTGAGAATAGAAGCATGGACGGAATTGTTGGTAACGGCGAATATGGTGAAAATCAGGAAATAACAAAACTGGCAAAAAACAGCTTTGGTCGGTCGACCGATAAATGGACACGCTACATGGTCAAAAATCTCGTTCTGGACAATCGACTGATTGACTAGCATCAGTCGACCGATGAAGCACTACAGGTCGACTGATGAGCCATCATCAGTCGACTGATAGCAGGTTACTTGGGCTAATTTGGATTCCTGTTTTGGGTTAATCCTATTTGGGTTTGTCTTGGATATTTACTACTTTGCCACTCATGATGTCGACTCTTTAATTAGAGGTTGTTTAGGGTTTCTAAATAGGAGATTAGAGTTTAGAGAGAATAGAGAGGTTGTTTATTTATTCTAGAGAGATTGCGAGGAGAGATTTGTAATCTTTTATTCTTCATAATTAAGAGAAGGTATTTTTCTTCGCCATATCGAATTGTTCTTGTGTTTTGTTGTTTTCTTCACAAATACATCTTTGATAATTCCATGATCAAATATGCTAGCTCGGCGACTCGTATCAAGGTTGTATCAAATTGGTATCAGAGCAATCAGATCATGTGAAGGATGTATCCCGTGCATGGTCCTTACTCAATCGCAATACAAGAAACTAGGCGAGATTCTTGTTTCTTTGGAAGAAGTCCAGAAATCAAGAAAGAAGAATATGGCGGATAGTGACAATTCATCAAGGCTTGATACGGTGGAGAAATAGATCGAGACCATCAGTTCGACCCTCACGATGCTCATCGGTTTTATCCACGGAGATGACAAGAAGGGTGGATCTACGATGGAGCCAAAGACACAACCTACAAAATTCGATGGAGACAGTGAGAATTCAGATTCTAACGAGGAGAACAAAGCTATCAAGACTGTTCCACATCAAGGCGGTAAGAGTTCTTACTAGAATTTGAAGATTGACTTCAGAGTGGAGATTCATGTTTATGATAAGAGTGTCAATGTCGATAGGCTAGACGACTGGATCGAGTGTATAGAGACATACTTCACTCTTTATGGCTATTCATCTAAGGAGAATATCGTCTTTACGACACTGAAGCTTTCAGGGCACGCGCTGACGTGGTGGAAATCCTGCAAGCAGGAGAAGAAATATGTGTCATGGAGAAGGTTCAAGGAGCTACTTAGGAAGCAGTTTTACCCAGTGGGATTCCTTGATGAGCGTTGGTACAAGTGATATGGCTTGTGCCAAAGATTCAATCAAACCGTTCAAGAATACACTACAGAGTTTCAGCAGTAGGCTATGGTCCTCAACATTGCGACAAAGGATTGCTCTATTTTTATGAAGTATATGGCAGGTTTGAATGAATACATTTAGAAGGAGATGAAGCTATTCACGGTTGAGTCGATTGCGGAGGAGAGCGTGAAGACTATTGCTATTAAAGGCAAGCAGAAAAAGAGCAATGAGACAAAGGGAGATGCCAAGCATGCTGGAGGCAAGTTGTAAGCAACAAAAATTGCCTATAGGTTACCACACGTAGCTCGAGATGAAGAAAAGGCGATGAACGCCATCATCTGAGTCAAAGAGTATCATCCGATGACATGAAGAAGCGAATGAGCACATGAAGCGAGTCAACAAAGTGTACGAGTCAATAGAACACACGAAACAACGAAACGATGGACAAACGACCTCGTGTTTTGCACCTGTAGTGTGAAGCACCCTTAGTGTTTCACACCCATGTGTGAAACACCCTTGGTGTTTCGCACATGGTGCGAAACACTAAGAGTGTTTCGCACCTATCATGACTCTCAGGACGCATTTCAGAAATTTTCAATCTATTTCGATAGTTTTGGAACCTCCCTAACTACCTTGAAGCTATTCTTAAATGTGGGAGAGCTGTTAAAGCTATTTCCAACTGAATGTGACGCCCCTGTTTTCACTCATGGCTGCAGTCCAAGGTGAACCCAGAGATGTTAAACCTGCCATGCACCCACACTGTGCAACAACAAGTTTTACCAATCACAGTAATATCCTCTAGTGGGGTCAAATAAAAGCGTAGGTACAAAACAGGCAAAGAAGTAGAACGACAATAATAGACATGATAAAGAAGATGAAATCTCATAAATAAAGGTCATGTCTCAACTGAAAATAAACTAAAATACATTTGGAGTCTGCAATAACATACGATGCCTCAACATGAATCAAAACGAAAAGTCGAACTAAGGCTCATTGCCTTTACAAAATGGAAATAAACTCTAAGTCTGAATAAAATTTAAAACTACAGTGGAGTCACTACAAGTAAAAATACGCGACGGCGACTATGCCAGAACTCCGTCACCCTGCGGCTCTCCGGAACTCCGAGCTACCTGGAAGGGTATTTTTAAAAGAAAAAGAAACAACAACAAGAGCGTCAGAGCGCTACAGCAAGATTACCTCCATCCGTCCCCAAGAAAAGGGCTGCTAGATGGAGTGGAGGCTCTATCTATTAACATAGTCTACCTAGATTCATTTTCCCCGTATCTAAGTGGGATTAACATTTAGAAACCTACAACACTAGACGTAGTACATCGAGCGAAATAATCCAAACAAGGAAACCCTTATGTATATACCATAAGTCTCAAATTATAGATATCTACATTAATACCGAACTAAGAAAAGATAATCTAATGAAACCAATAATTAGAAATCCATAACACGAGACTGGTACATCGAGCGAAATAATCCAAACAAGGAAACCCTCATGTATATACCATAAGTCTCAAGTTGTAAATTTCTAATCATTGATCCCAACTAAGAAGTAAAAAAAGACAGTAAAAGAAATAAGATATCAACACATCATATTTATAATATCTTCCACTATCACTGGGGAGATAGAATAAAATACCAACACATAATTTTGTATACTTTCAAAAATAACGTATCTCAGTTATATAGTTCACTGATAGGTCATATTCAAAATCGACATCTGCCATACTTAGGCTATCAAGTAATTGTCTCAGTGCAACGGACTACCCTCACTACTAGAAACAGGACTTTTAGCGACGGACAAATCCGTCGCTAAAAGTCAAAAATCCGTCGCTAAAACCTTTAGCGACGGAAAAAATAAAATTCCGTCGCAAAAAAACCGTCAGTACAGTGAGGGTAGCTAAAATCATTTTTAGCGACGGATATTCCGTCGCTAAAAGTCAGCGACGGAAAATTAACGACGGATAATCCGTCGCATTATTTTTTTTAAAAAAAGAAAAAAACATTAGCGACGGATTTTCCGTAGCTAAAACAACTTTTTAGCGACGGAAAATCCGTCGCTAATGTTTTTTAGCGACGGAAAATCCGTCGCTATAACTATTTTTAAAATAAATAAATAAATAAATAAATAAGGCAAATTTTTCGTCGCTAAAAGTCTATTTAACGACGGCCAATCCGTTGCTAAATGTTTCTAATATTTTTTTAAAAATAATTTGAAAATTGAAAAAACCTGTACAATAATATAATAAATTTAAAACCCTGTTCAATTAGTAGTATAACATTCATTCTCACGCATATATAACACATATAATTTAATTAAAATATCCCAACATGATAAACGTTGTTTATACATCACACACCATGATAAATATTGTTTACACAACACTCATTCATTGTTTTCAAAGGTAAAAAAAACAAATCAGTCCTCCTGATCATCATCATCAACATTCTCATCACCAGCTCCACCTTGTCTAGAAGTCCCGACCTGCAAATATAAATCAAACGTTAACAACATGGCATGACATTCAAGTATAGCAATAAGAGAGAGTATCATGGCATATTCTTATGTATTATACGCACGCACGCACAATTTTTACAACTACGCATGCACACACCCTAACCCCGCAAGGAAAGCTACTCCTACCTAATAGCAAGATAGAGAGAGGTCTTAGCCCAATACGCGTACATGCACATATGCGTACATGCACAATACGCGTACACGCACAATTTTCTTACCATACACGCATGTACGCGTACATGCTCATACGCATATATGCACGCACGCACGCACACGTACACGCGTGCACGCATGCACGCACGCATACACGCGCGTACGTGCATGCATGCACGCACGCGTACACGCGTGCACGTACGCACGCACGCGTACACGTGTGCACGCATGCACCACACTCCACACCCCCCACCCCCTTCCCCTCCCCCTCCCCCTACATCACCACCACCACCAAATCCCCACTCCTTCCCCTCCCCCACCACGACCAAACCACCCACCAAGCGATCACATAACCAACCATACGCACGCACGCACCACAACAACACAACCACAATAGTCACATGGCATATTCATAACTAAGTAAGAATTAAATATATTTAATTCATTTAATTTAAAAAAGTAAAGTATATATATTACCTGATCCGTCATAAATCGTCTCCTATATGCTTCCTGAGCCTCCTGAGACTGAGTCGACATGAACTGTGTGAACTCTAATTCTTGCTGCTCCCGGCACCTCCGTTCTTCCTCCTCAATCCGCTGATATGTTGTTTGCTGTGATTGCCAATCTTCAATCGCTTTCATGAAACCCAAATACCTACAAGCATATAGTTTCATGATTTGTGATAAAATAAAACTGAGTACATCAAAACTCTAAAATGATACACTTTATTCATCTAAGTAGAGCTACTTGGCTCTTGGATAAAACTGACAGAGGTTTATATTATGTGTGAAGCAGCAAAAAGAGATAACAATAATAATAAAAATAAAAAATAAATAATAATAAAATATCATTAGCTAATATTGAGGTACTAACCAGAGGGTCCAGGTCAATATTTACACCCAATGCCTCCAATACGTCTGCACTTCCACATGCTGAAGAGCTAGAGCGATTTCCTTGCTGCAAGAAAACATGCAGACACCATCATAGCACATTGCTGAAGGCCCCACTAATAATCTGTTCAAGCAAAAAATTTCACCTTTGCGGCTTTTGCACCAGCTGCAGCAGCAAGAATCGACGCGCCAGTTGAGATATTGACTGTATTTGCACCGTCACCACCCGTTCCAACGATGTCAACTGCATCAGCTACACCTTCGACTTTCCTACAGCATTTTATCATGGCCCTTGCCAGTCCCACAATCTATAAGAAAAAGAGTTCATGAATTTCATACAAAAACTCTTACCCTTTATGTGTGTTCCTCTACCTAATAGCATTGACCTAAATAATTTATGTGAATCAAAACTGTAAATGAGCATGTGGAATGCTTCGGATAAGTGATGTGAGGATAAGTAGCTAAACTTGACATGAGGTTTCAGAAGAATAGACAAGCCAAGCATAAATAAGCTTAAAAGAGTTTGTGAGTTTTCTTTTAAGAAAACAGAATTTGTGAGTACACTCCCACTTATGATCATTCATTTGCATTATAACTATGGTAAAAAGAAATATTAATCATCTACAAGAATAAAGCTGATGAGTAACACTAGAAAGAGCACAGAACCAGTTTTTATTCTGCAAAACTGAATGCACATGTATTTAAAATTCAAACTAATATCGCCACAAATGACTTATAACCCTAAATATAGTAAGAAAATGTTGAAACGTTTGTTTTGAGGTAAATGGCAAAAATGTAATAGGGTAATATTTTCCACGCTTTACAGATAAGATCAACAATGGAGATTAAATCAGCGGAAGATAGGATATCATATACCTCTGTCCGCATGGTTAGGACTTCTTTGAGCTCCTTTGTTGCACTCATCAAACGAGTCTTCAAGTTATCAACCACAGTGGTTATGTGGCTCCTTTGTTGAACTTCTTTGAACTCATCCCAATCTCATTCTATTACTATAATAGATACAAACCATATTTGTGAAAAACTTTCAAGCAATTTGAAAGATGCATGCTCCAAAATTATCTACACATTCTTAATACAGAGGCAGAGCGCATACAACAAGATGCAAACTCAACAATCTACAAAGCAAAGAACATATTCTGTGAAAATTGTCGGGTAAGATAATTAATCATTCAGCAATGTACTACTACTCATGGTCTTGTCATTTTAAAGAAATATAAAACATACAAACTTCTTGAGACTCACGCTACATTGATTCTCTATCCTTTTCTGCGAAAAACACGAAACTTATTTTTGGACAATGATGTAACTCAAAAACAGCTACTCAACTATGATCAACATTAGGACCAATCTGGTTACATAGAACTGCAATTTACATGTGTTTCAACTCATGGTTTGAGTCACTAACCTAAATGATGCTGTTTGGTATGGTATCTTATAGTTGAGGAATCCCAATTGGCAATGGAATTTCAACTCATTATTACCTCTAAGAAACTAACTGGTAACTAGAACAAGTGAATTCCAGTTCCTAAGCTCGTAAGGAGTCACAGCTTCACCCTAAGTACCGAATGCAATTGGAACAACATCCGTAGCACATCAATAACTATTTAAATAAGTATTAGGTACTCTGGAGGTTCCTATACGTTCAACCATACGGTAATTGAACCTTAATAGATCCTATAAACTCAACAATGAGAAACCAAACTGCATTAATCAGAATCACAGCTCCACGATACTGGATAGTATCGATTTCACGAGTTCAAAATACACATCGAAGTCATCACTAAGTCAAGTTACAACAACACCATAAGAAGCAGATAAACTCAGATTCTGATCACTTATTTATCCCAAAATTTCTCTTGTTTCTGACCACCTTTCCAAGTTTACTTACACATCAAACAATGTGCGTTTGAGCAAAATATGAGAGGTCATATTTCAAAGAAGAATTACTCACTTCAAATTAACCAAGGCAAATAGCAATTTCGACTTACATTTTGCTAGTTTGGAGAGCTTTTGAGAAGTGTGATGGATCCCAACCTCGATCTTGGAAGCTCTCTTGTTGAATTCCGACTGAATCGGGACCGACGACTTCATCCCCTCGAATTTCGAAGCAGAGGCGGCGATCTCGGAGTTCTGTTGAGAAGATAACGACTTCTTCAATCTCTCCATCACCGTCAGAAACTCCTGCGTCCGATCTCGGTACGACAGCTTTGCCGATCTCGAATGCATCTCGAATTAAGGGTCAAATTACACGAATTGATTATTCGATCTCGAGATTTAGGAGATGAGAGCGCGAGATCTAGGACAGGGTGTTGAATGAGGGTTAGGGTTTTAAAAATTGGGGGAATTCGAAGGAAAAGGGATCCACTGAAAGCTCACCTCCGTAATAGAAGAATGAGGAGGGTGTGGAGACGGCAACGGAGACGGCGGCGAGGTTGTCGATGCTCCGGCGAGATTAAAAAACACGGTTCTATATATCTGTCAAAATTTTTCACGGAGCAAAATGTTATTTATTGACATATTGGGTCAGAGATTGAGGGGGAGAGGGCGCGGGCTGCCCAAAAAATTTGGGCGCCCGCGGCCAAATTTTTTTCCCTCCAAACTTTTTTAGCGACGGAAAATTTCCGTCGCTAAATTTCCGTCAGGGAATTTATAGCGACAGTTAATTTCCGTTGCTAATAGATTCATTTCCATCGCTAAAAATTTTTTACCGACGGAAATATAGCGACGAAAATTTCCGTCGCTATATCTTATGTTATAGCGACGGAAATTTTCGTCGCTATATTTCCGTAGGCAAAACTCTATTTTCTAGTAGTGGTATCCTGAACTATGTACACGGCTCATTAGTCTCATCGCGATCTCAGTGCGTAACATGAGTACGGGACGGACTACCAAATAGGCATCCTAGAAATACGGCTCACAAGCCTCATCGCACCCTAGTGCAGGACAGACGGCTAGATCAAGCCTCCTAAAATCCGACTCAATGGCCTGTACATATGGAATATCGACGCACTACCTCATGTAGTACTAAACTGAGCTCATCAACGATATCCACCTCATATAAATCTTTGTATCTCAGGTATGTCGACGCACTATCCCATATAGTACTAAGTTGTGCTCATCAACGACATCCAACATGTATATGAACTATATCTAATTCAAATATGATCAAATAAAAATTTGTAGTACTGAACTGAGCTCATCAACGATATCCACCTCATGTATAACTGTGTATATCTGGTATGTCGACGTACTATCCCATATAGTACTGAGCTGTGCTCATCAACGACATCCAACATGTATATAAACGATATTTAATTCAAATATGATCAAATAAAAATTTATCATAATCCCCTTGGGATTCTTAAATATATAACACAATATATTCATGACTATACGTATAACATCAAGCGGCTCAAAACTCCGCGAACGCACCTCAAAACGGCACAACACAGCTCCACAAAACAAGCAGGAAAAATAGACGTGATATCTATTAGTAAAACAAGCATATAATTCTCTAGGAAAACTATTTTTACAAATGGTTTTCTGTTTTAAAAACTAGATTCATACATATTTCAAATGACATAAGTTTGGTTCAGTTTGGAGTTCATTTGTTATCCCAAATCTCCAGTTAAACATTATATATGTGCATCCGTTTTTCTAGAGGACATGTTGTTAGTAAATATAACATATCTTTCTCTATACAAACTCTTTTTAAGAATGGTTTTCTGTTTTGAAACTTAGATTCACACATCTCTCAAATGACATAAGTTTGGTTCAGTTTGGAGTTCATTTGTTATCCCAAATCTCCAGTTAAATGTTATATATGTGTATCCGTTTTTCTGCAGGACATGTTGTTAGTAAAAAGATCATATCTTTCTCTATACAAATGATTTTTAAGATTAGTCTTCTGTTTTAGAAACTAGATACATATATCTTTCATTTGGCACTAGTTTGGTTAAATTTGGAGTTTATTTTCTATTTCAAAATCTCAGTTAAACATGATATAATTGCTGTAGTTTTCTGCAGAAAATATTTATTTAGTACATCTCTTAAATTTCTCATATATAAATGAAATTATAAAAAATCCTAATAATCATGATCATGATACTATCATAAATAGTAAGAAAAAAATTACTAATCTAGTATTGGTTTATGTTTTAACATCAAAAATTTATCTTTTATCACATCATATTAAGATTCAAGCATGAAAACACATATTCAAGATCATATTAAATATCTAACTAGTTATTTAACTATGGGGAAGGGTTTGGATGAAGATAATCTTGCCTTAGACGTCATTCTAACCCTCTAAAATAACCAGCAACCAAAAAGAAGTACAACCAAGCTGTTTTCCCCTTGTTACACGTTAATGATCTCGCCCTCGTGTCGATATTTGCTTCACAAAGCTCTCAAAATTCTCAACTTTAGGGAAGACTTGTTGGAAAGCTCTTGAAGATACCTACAACTTTTGTCTTTTAAGTTTTTCCAAATTCCATCTATATCTATGAGAAAAATATAAAATCTCTCCGCTAGTCATAAATTTTCAGATTTATACATCGAGCATGAATTGTGTATTTGCTCTTATATATACATATATACATTGAATTGATCTGAAACCAATTCCTAACATACTCAAACATCATAATATGTTATTTATAAATATATAACATATTTATTATTATTTATCACAAAATATTCAAATTTTTGGGGTTTTACATTCTTCCCCCCTTAAAAGAATTTCATCCTCGAAATTCAGAAATCATACTTAAGCAAATAATAATACTAGAAAAGCACATAGAGGGTCTAATTTAACCCGCAAACATAAACATCTCAGAATATTTACTCTTGATAAGCATATAGGGATATTTATATTTAACAATCCAGGATGACTATATTCTCATTCAACCCTTAATCGAATGGATCTAGTACGTCGGGCGAAAAATCCAAACAAGGAACCCCCATATATATACCATGTGTTCCAAAAGATTAAGAATTAAGTGGAAATATCCTCATTCTAGCGTTAAATCTAAATATAACCACACAAATAATCGCACACATAAATCAATCCACTTCCTTAATAGGTGCAGAAAGTCGCGCGACATAACATATTTGCGCTCCCGAAAATCATCTTCGATGCCTACACTTAACCATCTAAAATGTAAATACCCCCACTTAACACCTAACTAAATAGAACAAGTACATCGAGCGAAAAATCCAAACAAGGAACCCCTCATATATATACCATATGTTCCAAGTACTTAGGAGATAAGTGGTAATACTCTCATTTTAGTGTTAAGTATAAACATCGCCATACATGCAACCATAAGCCATAAACAAGTCACACAAAAATTAAATTTACTAGATCAAACAGGTGTGGGTAGTCGCGATGTATACCCTCCTCGTGCTTCTAAGAACCTCCTCAACTCCTTTCCGGTTTCGCTGAATTGCCACAAAGGAAAAACATCTTGTTTCTAAATTTCTTGTCTTCCCTAGCAAGCATACAAACTTGGATTTCAATCGTAGTCAGATTATTCTAAAGCTAAATCTTCAGTGCGTTCATCATTCGCTACTGATCTACATCATGAAAGTGCTTCCTAAGCATAGAAACATGAAATGCATTGTGTATACTAGACATCGATGCTGGAAGATCTAGTCTGTATGACACAGCTCCAATGTGCTCCAAAATTCGGAAAGGTCTAATATACCTCAGTGTAAGCTTTCTCCATTCTGCACGCCTTTCATAGGAGATACCTTCAGCATAATAAAATCTCTAACCTGAAACTCTAAGGGTCTTCGTCTCTTATCTGCATAGCGCATAGCTCTTTTGCCGACTCTAAACGGCTAGAATCCGATCTCTGGTCAATGTTACTTCCTCAGTAATCTGTCTCATAAGCTCTGGCCCAAGTATTAAACTCTTCTCCGGCTCTACCCAACATATAGACGATCTGTAAGGCCTCTCGTACGATACTTCATACGGGGTCATACCGATTGTCACTTGATAATTATTGTTCTAAACGAACTCTATCAATAAAATATGATCCTCCCAGCTACCTTAAAAATCAAATAACACAAGCCCGCAATTTGTTTTCCAACATCTGGTTTACTCTCTCCGTCTGACAATCCGTCTCAATTTGATACTGTCGTATCTGGAACTCCACGAAGTTGAATAGTCTCCTGAATAAATATCCTCCCTGGAATAAAATGTGCTAACTTTATCAGTCTATCAACTATCACCCCAAACCGAATCATTCTCTTTCTTCGACTTCGATAACCCTACAATAAAGTCCATAGAAATGTTCGCCCACTTCTACTCTGTGTTCCTGTCGGTCTCTGATGTTTCGCCTTTACTCACTGGCAGGTAAGATACTTAGCTACATACTCTGAAATCTTCCTACGCATATCACTCCATCCAAGAGTGTCTCTTTAGGTCCTTTTACATCTTAGGGGTCTCTGGATGCACTGTGTACCGAGTACGATGTGCTTCATCTAGCGACTCTCTCTTAAGCTCTGCATTGGCTGGCATAACCAACCTATCCTTCATCTGTAGACTTCCATCTGCTCCAGCGATCCAATCAGTCTTAGGCTCTTTGTAAATTTCCTCCTTTTGGATCTGAATTCAATAGTTTTCTAACTGAGTTCTGACAACTCTGACACTCCAAGCTAGCTGCAGTGACACAGCTCCCTACAATGTACTGGTTCTACCAATCTCATGTCTAAAATCACACTGGCTAAGGGTGAGAATATCTCAATACAACGAGCACCTCTAAGCCGAAACCCGATGTTGACGTTTCTTACTCAAGTCATCTGCTATGACATTTTCCTTCCCCAGATGATACTGAATCGCGGACTCGTAGTCCTTGATAAACTCAATTCACCTCCTTTGTCTTTGGTTGAGTTCCTTCTGAGAGAAAAGATACTTAAGACTCTGATGTCTGTGAATAATTCAAACTGTACTTCATATAAGTAAAGTCTCCATGACTTC